TACAAATGTGGATTTTTAGAGAAGAGTAAATGTGACTACTTGACCAACAATGTATCTGAGAGCTTTAATGCTCAGATAAGGCACATGAAAGGTCTGTTGATGCATGAATTGGTTGATGGCCGGAGAGAGCTCATCATGGAGAAGAGGTTTTGAGGAGGAAGATTGCTAGGGAAATGCGTGATGGTATACTCCCTAGTGTCATGAAGGAGTTGAATGCCATCAGCAATAATCTCAAAGTGGTTAAGGTAACAAGTAGTGATGAAGACATGGCCGAAGTGACACTTAAGGACAACTGGAATAATTAGAAGAGGCACACAGTTGATGTCCAACATCATTCATGTTCATGCAGAGAGTGGCAGCTCACAGGCAAACCTTGCAAACATGCATTAGCTTGGATACAGTCCAATAGGGGAATGAAAATAGAAGACTATGTGCATGAATATTATTCTGTAGCAAGATTTAGGGCTGCTTATCAAGGAAGAGTAGAGCCTTTTCTAGACCGAACACAGTGGCCTGAGGTTGATCTTGGGTTGAAATATTTTCCACCTTTGCTAGGAAGACCACCAGGCAGACCAAGAGTATAGAGAATTAGGGGCTACCTTGAAGAGAAAGCGAACAAGAAAAAGGTGAAGTGCAAAAGGTGTGGTGACTTCGGCCACTTTGCCAAGACTTGCAAATTTCCTGAGGTTGACTCCGATGGAGAAATTAGGGGCAGATCACAAAACAAGAGGTTAGTGACTCATTCTCAAATCATTTCTTGTGCATTTTGTAATGAACCTAGTGCTCACCACTATACTTTGCAGGAAACGGCAAGAAGGTGATGACATTGCTGGGCCGTCAGAGGTGAAGAAGAATAAGGCAGCACAAAAGAAGAAGAAGAAGAAGAAGAAGAGCTCAAAAAGGAAGAATACGCCCAAGAAGAAGAAGACTCCAGTGAAGGCTGCTGCTGCACCACAGCCTAGAGTTGTTAGGAGCTTGACACAATTCCTTAATACCCAACTCACTGCTCAAGTCCATGATTCCTAAATTTTAATGTGATCAGGCTGTGCTTTTGAACTTGTAATCAGGCTGTGCTTTTAAACCTGTAATCGGGTTGTGCTTTTGAAACCTGTAATCGGGTTGTGCTTTTGAAATATGTAATCAGCCTGTGCTTTTGAACATGTAATCAGGCTGTGCTTTCTTCAGTGAAGGTGCTGTGAACTTGTAGTCAATTAAAGTCCTGTGAACTTGTAGTCAGTTAAAGTCTAGACACTATTATGTCAACTTGTTATCAACTTATCTGTGACCTTTTATGGCATATTCTTTGTCCATATTTTGCACTATTCTGTTAAATTATCAACTAAAGTTGCTATGCTTGATGTGTCATCACAGATGTTGTCCATATTTTGCACAGAAACACATATCACATTCACATAGAAGCAGATTCATATATGACATTCATGTTGCACAAAGGTTCATATACATTCACATATGACATTCATGTTGCACAAAGGTTCAGATACATTCACATACAACCATCATGTTTCATCCCTTCCAAATAAAGGAAAACAAGACACCAATCACGATACCAGCAACCAATGTTGCTACAACGCCAAAATCCACTACAACCTGCCAATTCCTATTATCTGGTTCCTTCTTTATCGAACCTTGTTGCATCTTCAAGTTCATGCCTCAAATCAGCCAACCCATCACAAGTGAATTGCATCACTGCTGTTGGATCCACACTGCGTGCCTGTATCAACCGGCGTTGCTTCACTGCCTAGGGAATTGCATCACCATTTTCTTCGCTTCGCTTCGTCGAGCTCAAAATCGTCGCAGCGCCCTTCATCGGCCTTCCTGTCCACGGATGCTGCGGCGTAGAGCTTCTGACCACGTGCAGCTTCAGTAACGCCTGCGTCGCTCGTAGCCACTGGCGACCCTCGCGCGCTGCTCGGCGCCTCGGCGCTCGCTGCATTGTTGTCGCCGACTCACCTCGCCTCCGCGCCTGCCTAAGCTGCCTCCGCACCCGCCTGCGCAGCCTCCACCGCCGGCTCGTCTACGCTGTCGTCGGCTCGCCTGCGCCACCGCTGCCGCCAAGCTTCGGTTAGGGTTCGGGGAGAGAGAAGAGACAGAAAGGAAGTGAGCTGCACATTGGGTCCAAGCGTTCAGCTCGTATAGTTGGATGAGACAGGGCAATACGGTCCATACAAAACATGTCACCATATACGTACATTTGCAGGTGGGCCACAGGTCGTAGCAAGCGTACAGAATGGCATCAATCATGTTCCACTGAAATTATAATGGCAAGTTTACAATATCGTGAATTGTAATGGTATATTTCGAAAGTCGTAGAATTGTAATGGCAGCATTCAAATTAGCCCTTAAAACTATTGTTGAACACCAACGTCCGCTAAGGTACAAGTTGAGCCCTCGTTCAGGGTGGGCACCCGTGAATCGAAAACTGAACCGAACCGAACCAAAATGTAGGTTTTTTCGATTTTCGGTTACGTCTTCGGCTTCTATGTCTCGGAGTTTTGGTGCTCGGTCTCAGCTTCGGTTTGAGGAGGCAGAAGAGCCAAGCAACCACACAACATGCAGATGCGGAGAGGGGGGGTCGAGGTATTGCCAGGATGTAGTCAAAGTCGGGAGAGGACGTAGTTGTCCGGTGGACGACGCGTCGGAAAGGGCTGATGCGGACGCCGAGGAGGTAGCTGGCGCTGGAGATAGCGGATCCGCGTCGGGAGCAAGGAAACATGTGGGAATGGAGGGAGGCCATGGCAGATCTGCCGCTCAAAGATCGATTGGAGCGGCTGATGTGGCTAGGAATGCAGCACAAACCGGAGAGCGAGCGAACAGGCAAAAAAGAAATGTGTACAAATGAAAAGGGAATCCGTACGTGCACAGGTCTTTCCAACCATATATAGGAAAATAGAAATAGGGGCCCTAAAAAGTCTTTAATAATGAGGGGAAAATTTGAGGACCTATATATACTCCTACAACTGAGGGAATATAAGGAAGCCTAAAAGAAATTTAGAAGGGTAGATGACGGCAAGACAACAAATTATCCGTTCCATGGTGTGGAAGATCACCGACTGATGGCACACGCTCCGCCACTAAAGATGGCAACGGGCATAGAATGCCCGCATGCCCGCGGGCATGGAACCCGATGGGCAAGGATACGGGCACCACTTCTTGCCCGTGGGCACGGGCGCGGGCACCATCATAAACCAAGAGGATAGTTCTTCGCGGGCAAAGAAATTTGCTATCCTCATCCACGTATCCGCCAGACCTGCTCCACAAGTCTGACATGTGAGACCTACAAGCAAATATATGTATATATACATGATTTGCTGTGAATATGTATCTTCATATCTTGTAATGCACTATGATTTATGTATACGCTCAACCTGGCGGGCACGGGCATGCGCGGGCATGAAATGCCTGCGGATGGAGGGCACGGGTGCGGCGAGAGATTTAGCTAGCGGGCGCGGGCGTAAGAAGGTAGTATCCGCGCCCTTGCCATCTTTATCCGCCACCAAACTAGATTTTTTAGGGGACCCACCAAACTAGATGGTTAATGTTCCACCGACTGCCTGCTAATAAACGGGTGGCAAGGCTGCACCCTGGGCCTCCATGGTCATCGAGGTGACTGCATGTCCATGTTGGCTCATACACGCATGAATCGATCTGGTCACATGAGAGCCTAACATGCGCATCAGAGCACATTAGTCCTCGTAAATCACAGCAAGTATGTAACACAAAAGGGCAAAGTTAAACTGTTGCCATGACTAACCATGGCTGTTCAAGAACCAGAGATAGAGTGGGACATTAACAGATCTGTTCATCTCGAAGTCACGCTCTTAGGTACTACGTGTGTTTAAAAAAACCATCTGCTTCCAGAATCCAGATCCTAAAAACTGAAGGGCTCAGAACTTACACGTCCGATGGTGCTATTTTCCATGTTCGATTCATACCAAAACTTGAGCATTGTCATATTGAAATATTTAGAAGACATTTTTCCTCATCTTACATCGCCGTTTGCCGGTGGTAATTAGAGTGGCCCTTTTGGAGGTAAGATGGTGGAAGCAACTGAACACTTGAGATTGAGGCAACAGTCCTTTTGTCAGAGTGGAACTTAACAAACACAGTGGAGAACCTGCATATTGCTGCTTCCGTTTCCTATAACTGCGAACAGACAAACAATGCACATGAACCAAGAATCATTGGTGAAAAAAGGATAGGAAAAAAAAACTATGAGTCCACCAACCAACTCCAATTATTGACCCTTTGGAAGTAAGATTAAACGCCCAACAGAAGAACAAATGGGAACTAAGGTAACCATGCATGTGCAAGCATTACTTAAATTTCAGCAACTTTGGATGAAATTATAATTGAGTGCAGCACCAACATTAGAGGGAATTAACTAAACATGAGTTAATTACAAAGTCAATATGCTGCAGTGCCGTGTACCAACATTTGGCATTTCTTCTCTCCATGCCAGCCTCTCTTTACTTTTCTTCTGTTAGAATGCACTTAGTATGACAAGCATACAGCATGGGTCCACAATTCTTTCATTGGGAAAAAAAAGGGAAACAAAATAGACAGAAACATTAAACTTCAGAGCTCTCTATATATGTTATATAGATAGACAGCAAACATATCCTAAAGTTACAGATCTCACCCAAAAGAGCACTACAACAGTGAGTAAATCACAAAGGTCTATAGGAGACCGTCCAGCCAAAGAGAAAGCACTACAAAGTTATAACTCTTATCACACACCTGAACTTTATCAGCCTCTCATGAATCATCTGAGTTAATCAACCAAAAAATCCTACATGTTTGTTTTTTCTAAAACAATTCGATACTATATTTAAACTACAAAAATAAATTGCAACCATCAAAACTGCAAATTTAGAGAACATGCATTAACAACAAAACCGTATCAAGCTAAGTTGTTGAGGACAAATGGTAGGAAAGCAAGTACCATAACAGGTTCAGAGACTGCTAACTTTAAGTTTTCCTCAAGTGTCACAGAACTGTAAAGGCAAAGTGATGCTTCTCTTGCTGTGGTTCATGAGATCATAAACTTCAAGCTACAACAAATAAGCCAACATAAGTATATTTACCATTTCAACTATAAATGCTAAATTAGATTTTTATATTGTACACAGACCTTTAGATCTACCATGGAATTTGGATTGTTCAAGAATATCCAACCAAGTTTGAGAAAGTGATCTTCCAACTGAACACAAAGTTTGACCATGTAAATCATAATTACATCTAGATGAAAGTGATGTCTACATTACAGAAATTTCTAAAAAAATTATAAATATTCGCGATATTTTTCACCTGAGGTAAAGTCATAGCATGTTGCTCATCCAACGAAACAATCATATCTCCACGTAGAATCCCAACACTCTCAGCAGCAGAGTCATATGATACCTAAAAAGATCCAAATAATTTACAATATTACTGAATACCAATAACATATATGACTAAAAGAGTTACATAAAGTCTTAATAATGTGTACTGCCAAACCCTATCTACAATGAAACCACTGTTGATGCCATGATCAAGACAGATCTCTTCCTGGAGTGATACATCCAGGAGCTCAAATGTCCTTAAGCCCAATCCATATATGGGGCGTGCAGTACGACTGAAATGAAATTTTGATTTAGATGACCAACAATGGAAACTGAACTACGGACATTTTTATGTCAAGACTAGATCGAAATATACATTGACTAAAATATACATTAGATTAATCATAAAAGGGTTAAATGCTCTAGTGATGTTGTCATGTTAGAGAAATAATTCTTGTACAATGTTGCCCCACAAGTTAGGTTTGACAACAAGGAGCAACAAATAATACTCTACACTTCAATGAATGTACATAGGTTAAGAATAAAAAAGGTTAACAAACCCAAATGTCATCCACATATCAATGCATCTGATGATAGTAGAGATGGAAAGAACAGAAGGATTTGGGTTACAATAAAACGTCATCCCTGTGATATTGCCATCGTGGTCAATCACTGGTGCTCCATTGCTCACCTGCATCAAATAAATGCTACTAAGTTAACGAGCAATTAAGCAGCAATACATCACGAAGACTTAATGCTACATTTATTACCTTTGGGATTTCACAGCTGAGATATATCTGGTAGTTGCGGCCTATATAATCTGATTCCTCTAACCATAAAATTTCCCCATGCCTAGCCCTCAAGGAAAATTCACTGTCTCTAGCCAAGACAAAAACCTCTTGACCATAGTTTGGGCAAGATCCAAGCGTAGGGGACTCCAATGGGAAATCTACATCGATCTCTAGTAGAGTGATACCATAATGATCATTGAAGAACAGAAATTGACCATCCAAGATGGTTTTATTTGGCAAGCCAACATGTAGCTGAAAATATGGGCTTGATCGATATTGTTAAATTGTGCAATATAAATTCAAGATTAGAGATGAAATTATTGATCAGGAAAGGCATCACTAGAACTACATGGATTCACAAAGAAAAATGACCAAGATACAAAGCTGAAAGTGATGATTTTGGGAATTGTTAAATAGAACATGCATGATCGAAAAGGGCACATTATCACCCACAAAGCCAAGGTGTGAACCATGACTAACAATAGAAGTTGCATGCAGACATAGTTACATAGGCACCATAATACTATTACAGGGATCCATATGAAGAAACATTTAGAATTTAACAAGCAAGATAAGTGGACTGAAAACCCACTAAAATATGCAGCTAGGCGGCTAGCGAATATGAAATGACTGGGCTAGTGAGAATGTTGGTAGTCCAGTTAAAAATGTCCTTGACACCAATCACTCAAGCGAGAAAGATCCATCCACGGCAACTCCTAAAACATACCAAAACAAAACCATTTGCCCACTCCATGAAATGAAACTTAACACTACAAGGTTTTATGTATACCTTTGGTAAAGGATCAAGTAGTTTAGACTCCCGGGACGAGATGAATTTTGAACAAGTCACTACTAAATTGTGTTGCTTCCTATTGGATTCCCTCTGACCCATGATGATACCAGTACACTGTGATCTCTCTTTGACCCATCTGCAAACATAGATACGAAATTTATCATTAGCTAGGAACAACTCAATAGGTGAACCTTGATATAAGTTCATAAAGTAATTCAACCGTGCGTGATGGAAGATACGCTGACGATGGAGCGGGCCACACCACGAACCATAACCTTGTCTGTTGGGCTCACCATGGCATTGGTCGTACGTGGATCCTTGGGCTCTCTCCGCGTAGGAAGTTTTCGGCGAGGATCTAAAGGAGTCATAATTGAAATGTAGCAAACATTAGGACATATATCTTTGTTTTCAGACACCACATAGTTGCATATCTGCACACTGTCATCTAGGCTCCCAATACTTTGGAAAACAATGATGCTAAATGAAAAAGGAACATGGATTCAAACTATTGATGCACTAAATAGAAGAAAGCTCTTTTGTGCAGATCACTGAAACTAAAAAAAACTGGTGTTCTAGACTTCGTGATTTATATGGTTCAAAAAAATTCACAGCTGCAAATGTTCAAACGATTCCTGCTTTCTGCAATACCAAAATATTTTTCCAAACCAAAGTCGACATAAACAACACATTAGAAAAGCAAGCATACGTTATATAACAAAAAAAAAGGAGAGCATAATGTATATGTAAAGCAAGAAGAAATTCAGAATACCTTCTCCAGAAATCGCACGGATCCTTCTACACTCCGCCATCCAGTTCCGCACATCCAACTTATTGCCATCCGATATGGTGGGAAGCGAAGAGGCAGCAGGTGAGGTACTCGAACCCTCTCCTACTGCTGCTGCTGCAGCGGGCGTCTGGTGCGTCACCTCCTCTGTGCCAGTGTTGCTCCCACCCGCTGACTCCTTTGCCGCGGCATCGATCCTCGTCCTCTTGGTAGGAACCGGCACCGGACCAGCCGCCGCTTCCGTTTCTGTTGCGTCGGCCAGCGGCTCCAGACTACCCTCCTCCGCTGCCATAAACGACGGCACTGCCCTGCCGGCCAACAAATCACCGATCGCCGGGCTCGGCTTCACCCCCCTTGCTCTAGAACGACTACTGTTGATGAGGGCTCGCCGTGACCTGAAACTCCGGCCTTGTCTCTTCACCGGTCGAGCCGACGGGTTCCGTAGATAATCCCGGCCTCTCTTTCATGAGATAATTGGAATTTTGCCATCATCAAACTTGGGCTTCGCTCGTTTGCCATCCCGCAAAAGTGATTCGCTCGTTTGCCATTATGAAACTGGACACACTCACTGGAATGCCCTTTGATTATTTTTTTTGCCAAATTTAAATTTTTTTTTTCGCGGCCTCTTTTCTTTCCCGTTTTGCCCCTGTTTCTTCTTCAACGGCAGAGGCAGAGGAGCTTGGCCAAGCGCCCAAGCGGCGGCTGGACCTGGAGAGCCGCCATGGCACGCCTGCTCCTCCCCGTCTCCGTCCCTGTCCCAGTCCCCATCTCCACTAGCATTGTGCTGCCGTCGTCATCTAGTACTGGTACTAGTACCGCGCGGCGCCGACAACAGGACTCCTAGAGCTGTTCAAAGGATCACTTGGGTCACCCTTCAACCTGAAAAAGAAAAGCAAAAAACTCAAGATGAAGTATAAAGCAGTCAAAGAAAATGTGGAAATAGGACTGGTTGGCATCAAAATTTAACCAGGAAACGTTGACTTTAATTGAATGCAATGTTAACTGAGCTTCATGAAGCTGTATGTATGACTTCATCAATTTACATTGTATCCCATCAATTTTTACCAACAGCACTACTGTGAGTTTGGTAGTCAGTAAAATGAAAAAAATTCTCTGAAGAAAATCTCGAAGTCTGACATGTACTGGAGCACCTGCTGATGAATCAACTCAGGTGAAAGTGCTAACTTAACTGCCAAAACTCAAAAGCTGAATTGATTCATAGGGTCAGTTAGCACTTTGTACAGATGAACTAGAGCAGAGATGGAGCGGCCACCAAAAATCAACGGAAACTGATACAAATCACCATGATTCGAAGCCAAACTTTGTACAGATGAAATTCACCTTGGCACGAACCTATTCCCCAAAAATCATGGCCTGGGATTGACCCAAACTCCGGTAAATTTGGATCGAAGCCATGAACTCGAGTTTTTCCCCAAAACGAAATCAGCTTGATTCGTGGTGCTCAAGTGAAGGATTTGTCAGGGGATCACCCTAGCCTTGATCACACATGTCCTAGCATCGAAATCCCTCAAGAAATTTAACCCAATCGCAGCCAAAACCGACGACCAAAAATCAACAAAAATGGCTCCGAAAATCACACCAAAATAAAAACTTCAGATTTGGAGAGGGGAACAAGAGGTGCACGAATTTGATCCTTGCATAAGCTCAGGTGGAGGTCGGCGATGTCGTGCAGTGGAGGTCCGTGATGGGACGGCTCGAGCTGGGGGCGGACGTCTACTCAGTCATGGACGATGGCGCGTGTCTACAAGGAGGCGGCGAGCCGGCGGCGGCGCAGCGTTGGACGGCCGCGGCAGCGGGGTGGTGGCAGTGAGGCGGTGGGGCTGGCGTTGGGGCGGGCGGCGGCCTGGGGAAGGGCAGCGGCGGTGGGATGGCCTGGGGAAGGGCAGCGGCCTGCTGGTGTTTGTGCGTGTGAGGAACATGAACAGGATGAAAGAGATAAGGTTTTGTGTTTAGGGGCAGGGGTAAAACGGGAATTAAAGTTTGGTTGGAACAAAAATAATGATAAAATTGAAAAAAATCAGCAAAAAGCAATTTCAGTGTGTACATCCGGTTTGATAATGGCAATCCGGTAAATTCCTTTTACGGGATGGCAAACGAGCAAAACCCAAGTTTGATGATGGCAAAATTTCAATTATATCCTCTTTCATGACTCTGGAACGGATTGAGAGAATTACCTATTTGCCATTACCGAGAACAGTGCTTCGCAAAATTACCATAAGACCTATATTTCATAGACTCCGTGGCACTTGTGAACGAGGAGGCAACTATTGTAATGGCACATAGCCAACTATATCGGATTGAGGTCGAGGTCACAGGGAATACTTGCTTGAAGTCTAAACGATCCTAAACCAACAACAGATTTGAACCTCTATTCTATATCTATATCTATAATTCTCCCGTCCCTTTTTAAGTGTCGTTCTCGCTTTCCGAGAAATTACTTTGACTAATTTTATTTAAAAAATATTAATACTTATGATACATAATTAATATCATTTGATACAACTTTAAATCTATTTTCACAATAAATTTATTTAAAGATACAAATGTTGCTAACATTATTTTTTAAAAATCTAGTCAAACTTACGGCATGAAAAACCAAAAGTGACAAATATTTAGGAACAGATGGAGTATATATTATATACCCAATCTTAATAAAGAGCTAAATTTCTATCAACTCTATTTCCGCCCGCACGCAGCGCCACTTCCATAATATGGAAAAAAATAGATGGGACCATCCTCAGCCAGAACGCCATGCGGATCTGCCCTTGTTTCATGCCATCTAGATGAAAGATTACACCTGATTGGCTGATTCCTGTCCAGATGCTACCAACCAATTGCTATGATACATAGTCCAATTCTAACATGTATTCAAACAAATAACACAATCACTATGTAAATCTCCGAGCCACAATTTGTTCATGTGACTATGTAATAAAATGTATGTTTCATTGCAACGCACAAACCATTTTTGCTAGTTATATATTATATCTCAACAATAGGGGTGGGGTGTTGTTGGTTACATATTATGTGGTACAAACATGCCTACTGTATCGCAATATATGGATGCATTGTACTTATTTGACTGCGGAACACAAACGATGTCATTACATTACATGCTTGTTTAGTTGGGCAGCGCGCGGAGGACGATGGTCTCGACGGTGATGCCAAGGCCAAAGGCTAAGAGCAGCCCCCACTCGAGGCCATCCCCTGCCGTGTGCAGCCCCTGCTCAGCCGACCTCCGTTGTATCTCGTCCAGGATGAGGACGACGCACGAGCTCAGCGTGTTGTCGTACTGCCTCAACACCTCCCTTGACGCTGCCAGCTTTTCCTTCCTCAGGCCGAACCTGCTCTCCACTTTGTCCAGTATCTCCCGCCCGCCAGGGTGCACCGCCCAGAACAGGCCCTCAGTCCAGTCACTGTCGTCGTCACCAGTCAACACCCCGGCGTTCACCAGTGCTTTCTTGGCGAGCTGCTGGATGTTGCTCGAGACGAGCAGCGGCAGGTCATGGTTGAGTTTGTACATTATCCCCTCCTCGTACAGCCTGGCAACCACCGCTGAAAACACACGCCCCGCTTGTACCCCAGGCACAAGCAGGACCAACCCATTACTCTCCTATCCCGGGTGTCTAGGTTCTCGTCCAAACTGGGACTCCAAGCCCCCGCCCCTGAGTCCCGGACTCAGTGCGGTGCAAGGATCTCCTTCACCAAAATAAAACCCTGACAGTCGGTCCGGAAGAGCCGCATCCATGACAAGGGAGCAATAAGTCTTCCAAGCGCCCATACCCAAGTATGTGCTCGGGATAATAAGTCCGTGACTTGCCTAGAGCCTTGTGCAATGATCGGTCCTTAACCAACCAAACAGGGAAAACAGTGTAACCATGCTATGCCCCGCGTCCACGGCGACACAACCTCTTACACCCACCAATACCCAAACCATATCCCTGCCCGGTCACCATTTTCCTTTCCACCATTTATATTTTTCAAGTGATAATATTACAATAATATATTTCCTATCTCTCGCAAGTGACAGACAATCACTCGACTTCTACCGGAGTCCTGTAGCATAGCATTCTACACGATCCTGTCATACTAGTAAGACCCATAGGATAAAGATATATATGCAAGTGGGTTTCATTCAACTCCTTAAAACTTAATGCACAAATATAATTTAAACTGCAGAAAAGTAGTGATTATACACCGGGACTTGCCTGGGTAAAATATAACCAAAAGTTAGTATTTGCATCTTCAGATCATCCACAATCATTTGGATAGAAAGCTCATTGCATCATCATCTCTTGGGGAGAATACCATTACACTATCCTCGGATTCCCAATCATCCTTCGATCGATCCGTTGATCCATCATCGTACCTATATGATATACATGCGATGCAATGCAAAGATGTAATTAATCAATTGCAATCGTGACTCGTAAAATACGACATATGCCTCTCGAGTTAACGGGCTAGTTCTAACGACGACCATACTTAGGCTTCGTATCCATGTTATCGAATAAGGCGTTACTTCCCAACGATTGTTTTAGTTATACAAACCCAAGGTGTTTCTTTATTTTATTCTATCGATCTAACCATTATTCGAAATAGGGCATTATTATCTATCTAGCAAACTAATTATTCTAGTTCTACCAAATTTACAGGAAGTACCTAATATTGCTAGGAGTCTACCGTACAATTTTCAGATTTAACAATATTACCCATTTATCATAGAGATTCCTACAAGTTTATATTTTACAATATTAAGTACCTTAAATTAATTATATAACTTCCAAGAATATTATAAACTATGTGAACAAAATATACTAACAAGTAGATCATAATTTTAGGAGACTAACAAAACTGGTTTCATCATTTTTTGACACCTACATAATTTTATATTGCTTTCACAAGTTGCAGTCATTTTAAACAAAACTAGAAACAGAAAAGAGGCACTTGGGCCGGCTTCGGCCAGCGCGGCCCACATGGGCGGCCAAAAGGCCTAGGCACGCGCGGCACAGTCAGCCACGCCGGTAGCCTACCGGTGCGCACGCTGCGGCCCAAAGGCGACTGCCAATTCGGCACAGCGCGCGGACGACGATGACCGGCCCACATGCGCCGTAGTAATGGACGCGGCCCACCGCGGCCGAACAGCCCAGCCGAGGGCGGCACCAGGCCGGCCCAAGCGGGGGTGAATAGCTAGCGAAGCGGACAGCGGCCCATCAAATCGCGGCAACAGCGCGGGCGGCCCAGCGAGGCTCAGTAGCCAGCGACCGGCCGACCCAGCGCGTGGCTTGCCCAAACCGGCCAGCGATTATGCAAAAACATCCCTACGTTTATCTCTATTCCACTCAAGGTCCATAGGCACTATTTAGTTGAGTCATGTATTTTGTAGTAAACACCATGTACAAAAGTACGGCTTGGATGCATACCCTTCGAACTCATCTTCTTCATTCTCCAAGCAGAGCACCGGCAGGGGAGCCACCGGCCGGCGGCGATTTGGCACGGAAGGTGGCACGACAGTGGTGGAGGACCGGCCGCGGGACAGCGGCGGACCTGGACGCGCACGACGTGGCCCCGGCAATCCCTATCGTGGCCCGCAGAGGCGCGACCGCGCACAGCGGCGGGCACGATGGCCGACGGCTGGCGGTGGTGCCGCTGCAGGGCGCACGGCTGGTGCTGGCGGACACGGCGCACCCGGGGGCGACTGCGGCAACAGCGAGGGACCATGGGGGCAACAGGGAGCGGCCTCGGCGTGGAGCCCTGCACGGCGACATCGACGCGTCCACGTGCCACGGCGCTGCGGACGGTGGCCCAGCACGCGTGCGCCCGACAGCGGTACGCCAGCGCGCACAGGGAAGGACGGCAGCGGCGGTGAGGCTCGCGACAGACGTGGAGCGGTGCGGGTCCGGGGAAGCGGGTGCGAGGCGAAGCCGCGCGCGGGGGTGACGGCTCGGGAAGACGCAGCGACAGCGGCCCGGCTGAGCAGGCAAGCCGAGAGAGAGCGGGGAGGGTGAGCCGAAGCTAGGACCGTGGTCCAGCGAGGGCGTGGGGACTCGCCGTGGGGAGGAAGAGGAGGAGCAGCGCTGAGGAGCAGCAGGCGAGCACAGGGCCGAGGGGCGCGCGAAGCTCGGAGGGGCAGCGCAGCGGGGGCTCGGGCACGCTGGAAAGGCAGTGGTCCAAAGCAAGCCGGAGGCAAAGAAAAAGCAGAGCTGGGAGCGCTTGCTCTGTGGCCGAGCGTCGGTGCTCCAGGCTCGGGCGCGCTCGCAAGGAGGAAAAAGGATGGCGCCGGCGCAAAGCGGGAGCAGCAGCAGCGACACGGAGGTGACCCGTCCTGGCCTTGTCTTGGCGCGGCGTGACTAAACGACAGAGGCAGACGTGCTGGCGCAGGCACGTCGGTTGCTGGCTCGAAAAAGCAAATCAGAGACAGACAAGACAGAGACAAGACAGATGCAGACAGGGGCAGACAGAGGCCAAGCCAAGGAGACACGGAAGACAGACGCGTGAGAGAGAGCGAGGAAGCAACGTCGGTCAACTTGTACAGAGAGGATAGATTCTCACCGCCAAATGAGAAACTCTCTTCATCGTCGGTTTCACCCTTGCTAGTGAAAGTGAATGGTGATAGTCAGAGTTATCACGCTAATGATTTTTTTGAGTTATTATTGTAACGTGTGTATATATATATATATATATATATAACGGTTTACTAATTTAGACAATTTGCAACGTCTAGACACAGGAAAAATTCAACAAAGTTCGAATTTAAATTTGATTCAAAAGCTATATATATTTATATCGTTCTATTTATTAATAGATTTTATTTTATCTATAAAAGTTGCTTTTCATGCTTAATCTAATAGAACAAATCATTCGCTGTCGATTGACCAGAATTGTCGTTCCACATTCCTAAATATCTTTACACACTGAGTAATTTAACTTGGGTGTTGATTTGAGTCTACGAAACTAAGTCACACAAGATTCACTCGTCAGGTCAAGTACGCTTTAAATTAGAAAAAAATCTGAGAAACTCGTTTCGTAAATTTTTACTTAGACCTAAAACACGGTGCTAAACGAGACCGTAACACCGGAGTGTTACAACATGTACGAGTACCGCTTCTCCACCATTGTCTTCTCACCTACGACCACCATGCATTGCACTTGCACACATCAGTAGTTTTTTTTGGGGAAAACACATCAGTAGTTTATATATATGTACAATCTAATCTAATGAACCAATGCAAAATTTGATAGATTTTTCCAAGATAGATACATCCAGCAGGTAATATAAATCGCATGCATGCATGTTTCCACTTACATATTTTTGCAAACTTGGCCTTGAGCTCCACCATGTGATTGCTGTTGGATATCTCAAAGTAAAAATCAGGGAATGATTTCTGCGGAACTACATGCTCCGGCACCGCTTTGCCTATCCCCATGATAGTCGCAAGCCCACAGGATCGATCATTTCCCATTCCAGCATTGAGAGAACCCATCTCAATTTGTTGATTATTACCAATACTAATGCAAGAGGGATGGAAGAAGATCAATATGTGGGGCTAATTTGAGATTTCCTGCTCTGCTTCGGCCATAGCCTGCTGCGAGGTGCAATATATAGCCCCGTTTAATCAATGAGGTGGGCTATCTCGATCAAACTCAAGGGTTTTTAAGTGGATATTATTGCAATGAAATTGTATAGTTAGTTGCTGTCTGTAGCTGCTAGTGCTGGCCAGAAGAAAGCTGCTGCCTGTGCCTGCTGCAGGATGGCCGGTTGCAGGTCGCGGTCATGGAGTGCGAATTTTTTTATTTTTAACATATTTTTAAACTAATTTTAAAATTAACATTTTTTTTTCAAATCTAACATTTTTGGCCGCGTCTATTTCGCAGAGTGGGCAAGGTTTACAGCAATACATGGGGGCGCGACAACCCTTTATTGGCAGCACGACATGGTGGCAGGCTAGCCATGGCACGATCTGGCGGCTAGGTTGACCTGGCGCGATGGTGCAACACCCCTTTGACACGGAGAGGCGGACACCTAGCTAGCCCATCTTTGCTTAGCAGCAGGGGTAGGTTCTGACATAGATATGCGACAACCCTTTTATGGAGGCTAGCCCTAGGGCAAAGTTCTGACAGCTACCCGGCTGCCGTGGGAATGATGGATAGCTAGGGCATAGGGAGAGCGTGGAGTGCATCAGTGCATGGCTGGCGTCAGCAGCTGCAGCGGAGACTACAGTAGCTGGTGGGTAGTGTCAAATCACCTAGCCTCTACTCATGTATGTATATATAAGAGCATATTACATTTCGGCCCTATTCGTTTGGAGAAATTTGGAGGAATCTGGAGAAATTTGTGAGAGAGTGAACAATATTTTTCATCCGGGAACCAAGTGTTTTCCGGGTGGTTTTATGACCAGCCGAACGGTGCTTTCATTGAACCATATTTTACATCTTCAGTTTAGGTGTAAGTTCTATAATTATCTGGTGTAAATTGATTATTCTTAAATGAGAATGAGAATTACTTGAATATTTATCTGACCATTTTTTGGCTTTTTTATTTTTTGTATATTTTATTTGTTTTTTCTTTGATTTTTTTTTAATTTGGCTTCCATAGAAATAATCGGGCTAATTTTTTTGTTTTGTTTGGTTTTGCTTTGAAATCTTCTAATTTGGCTTCCATAGAAATAATCTGGATAATTTTTTATTTTATATGTTCTATCTTTGAATTAATTCTGATCATTAGATCTTAACCATGTGGTTATAAACTTTGAGTGTTTCATGGCCTTAAAATACTCGATTCTATCAACCGGTCAGTTTCAAGTGTTTTATTGGCATGTGACACTCTGGGTATCATGAGTTCCTAAAATACTCGAGTAGAAGGTAGACATACTATGCAATTAAAATTTTATAGGGTATTAATTTTTTTCAAATGGGAGGGGGGACATAACCCCCTGCTGTCCCTTTGGTTGTGCCAATGGCATCATTATTGTTCTCAAACGCTTGTAACAATGTGAACAACTAGTACATCCTCCATTTAAAAATTGATCCAAAACTAAAGTTTAATCCGTATCGGGGGGTTTGGATGCTAATTACGAATACTAAATATAAGCTAATTATAAAACTAATTGCCCGTTGGCTATTGCATGTAGCTGCAGGCAGCAGGCAGGGGAGGGAGCCGGCAGGCACGCAGGCGGCCACTGTGGCTTGTCGCCTCCACCTCCGCGCTGCCGCTGGCTTTAGGCTGACTCCTAACTAGCTTGCTCGAGTGGTGCAAAGCTGCTGCAGTGCGTCGCTGTGCTGCCTGCCTGCCTGCGCAGCGGGCAACGGCCATGTGCATACGGCAGCAGCTCCCACTGGCCACTGGTAGGAGGACTGGATGGGAGACGGCATGTTCGGCAGGTATTAAAGCGGGCTGATGATTGTAGAGAAAAAGCGTAGATTCTATCGATAAGCGGATGATAAGTTCAAAAAATGCCCATTAGATTCATTGATTGCCTGCCCTCGCTGCTGTTGAAGAAAAGTTCATTGCATTGCCTGCCCTCGCTGCTGCCCATGGGATTCATTGCATTGCCTGCCCTCGCTGCTGCTGTGAAGAAACAATGAGATTGGGATTTCACTTCACCCTCTTTTCCTTTTTCTTTTTGCGGTCCAATTCCGGTGAAAGAAACCAGCCAAAGCGCGACACTGTTACACGCTGAATGGCTGAGGGAGTGAAAAAGTGGCAACTGGGGCTGAAATCCTTTTGTGCCGGTAATATTAGTCAGTCAAGCCAGTTTAGGACTGTTTTTTTTTGTTAGTTTACTAATTTTCTGATTAAATTGAAACCAACGGGAAGATTTAATTAAAAAGTGAAGTATAAGTGAATATTTTATTATAAGAGTTGTAATAAGTGGCACCGCGGTGGTGCTCTTTTTGCGCCCTAAGGCTTTCGTGTCTGTGCACCGAGAGCACCACCCCTTTGGCAAATGGTGATGCTCTTGCGCTGTGCGTCGTGGTGGCGCATGAGAGCGCCGACGGCTCTCTTCCAGCGCGTGGTCTTCCCGCACGACGGCGGTACCGCCGGCGGTGAGGCAAAACCCGGGTAGGTCCCTCCCCTCGCCGACCTTTCTTCTAGGGTTAGGGTTAGGGTTAGGGTTAGGCTTTGATACCATCGATAGCAATTATAGGACCTCTAGGTGCAGATCTAGCGGGTAAAACATAACTTAGACTAAGGACTCGTTGATGTACCTCACCAAAACCAGTCGCGGCTATGGCGCCGGAGACGAAGTAGCAGCGACATGGCCTCGAGTGTTGAGTAGAGGTAGCAGTGCAGTGGAGGCGCGGTCCAGTGGCGGCGGCGAAGGTGATGGTGCTTCCCGTCGCTCACAGCGCAACCTCACGATCGGACTAGGTTTAGGACATTGGTGGGGAACTGGCGGCTGCAGTGAACCTCGTTTTTCAAGCCCCAGCCCCCACCTCCTATTCATAGCGCTGCGCGACGGGGAGCCCATCAGCTTGGAGAACGGCTGGGCGCCCCGATCAAGGCGCAGATCAGGGGCCCAATTGGCCGTTGGACCAACTTGGTGGAGATCAACCTAACAACACCATCTTCCGCGGCAAAACCCCAAGCCGCCAAAGAAGATTTTTGTGGGCCAATTTTATATATATATTTTAGGAGTTATTTTTTTTAAACTTAGCTACTGTTCACATCTACTCGTACGAGTAGAAGAAACAGAACAATAGCAGCTGCATGCGGCCATTTTATTACAAGAAGCAGAAGCTAACACTCCTAATATTTCTGGCTCACTTCGGTTCACTTTTGCCTATCCCATTAGTCTCACCATCTGCCTTCAAGACGATGAAGGTTTTTATCAACTCCAGTGAACTCATCATTGATTTTTTTTATCAAGGCAGCATGTTCGTCATAGGTGGGTGTGGCAAACTCATTATCATTAAGCAAATTGTTACTTTTATGATTTGTTATTTGTCTTTATGTCATAATATAATAAAATTTTGTCCTTCTCTGACTATAGAAACAATTGTAAGTTGTTAATTGTTTTTGTGCCAACACAAATCGGTTTTTATTCCCGAAACCAGAAATTATAGATTGTGTTTACGGAAATTGCAATGAACTAAAAGTACAATTTTAATATAAAATATATGCAATAACCGTCGTCTGAAAAAAACTAAAAACTATGACAAGTTGAAAAAAGTAGTTACATAAATAGTCCATATACATTACAATTAGTAAATGGCTAAATTCAAAACTATTTTTTAAAAAATAGTAATAATTAATTTCAGTATGTTGGAAAAAAATACCTAAATAAAAAATAATGTATTAATAAGTACAACTATCGGATTGGTCATCTAAATTAATATCATAATGATCTAGATTTATCAAAAGATATAGGAAAATAAATAAAGACTCCAATATAGATAGAATAGGTATGGAAATGGATAGCATTAGGGTATAATTTAATACCTATTCTGACTAGATTTCGCCATATAGTAACAAAAATCAAGGAAACCATGCTAACATTAATGTGTGTGTGGGGGGGGGGGAGAGGAATTTTGCAAGTTGCACAACAACTATCTAACATGACACCCTTGGTATCCCATAAAAAATCATCAAAGCACTTTGAATCCATATGCTACTTTTTTTCTCTTTCACGTGCTCTACGCCTCACCATCTCACTATGCCCTCTCTTGCCATGGCTCTAAGATCTGCAAATCATTTTTTTCCTATGTTCGCGGCAAGAAAGTTTTGCATCTCCAGTGACGTGGATGAATATGATGAGAACATCACTCATTCGGATACAAGCCATCGAGACGAAGGGAACTAGAGTAACCAGTCGTCTTCGTTGGGAAAGGCCTGAGCATCAGTAAGGAATATTGTTCGCCTTTTCTTAAATGGCTTAACTAAAACATCAAAGAAAAGCCAAAGTAATCTATGCTTGATGGCACTTGAAACTCAAGAAAATCAATAACCCCCCTTCTCTAGGTCTACTCTAATTGATACGTATTCCCTCTATTCCAAATTGTACGTTGTTTTAGGTTTTCTAGGTGCATAGCTTTTGATAATAATATAAGGGCTGATGTGATATTTTGGTGTGCGTCTTCCTCACCACAATTGCGTAAACGGTGTATGCCTAAAATCTGCAATCGAAACAACCTGATCTATCAACACGTGCTAAAAGGTACTTCATCCATTCCAAGTTATAAGACATTTTGACTTTTTTACTTTTGCTACGCACTTAGATATACAATATGTATTGATACGTACTCCCTCTATTCGAAATTGTAAGTTGTTTTGGGTTTTCTAGGTGTTGCTATGCATCTAAATATATACACTTATGTTTAGATACATGGTAAAACTTATGAATCTTGAAAAGTCAAAACTGACTTACAATAATTTGGAATGGAGGCGAGTACTAAGAATAATGTTTCTAGAAAAGCCAAAATGTGGCAGAACCGCCCGAAATAGCATACTTACGGAGGCGCTCGTCTTCCACCAGACACTAAG